AATCGACGTTAGCGTGGCTTCCGCAGCACTCAAACCACGCACTTGCCGCGAGAAGAATGTCTTGCGTTTCATTCGCACTCGGTTTCGTGCGAAGCCAAACGAAGCCACGAGCAGCCGCGCTTCGGAGAGCCGGCCTCTTCCGTTCGTGCGACCTTGGTAGCGCTGTCGTCGAGACTTTGGTCAATAGGAGAAGCGGGCAGAGCCAGGGCGTGTACGAGACGCAGATAGAAGGCTTGACACGCCAACCAGAAGCCGCAAATAATCGCCTAGCAGTGTTAGCGCGAAAAATTTTAACCTGTGCCAAAGAGTTTAATAGAGTAACTGTTTATGGCTGAAAATATAGTCTACGTGATGCTTCGATTATGATCGTGCAAAAAGGTGTAAGAATCGAATGTCCCGCTCGAACTCCGTTTCGCTCGGACAGAGTCTGACCGCTCGGACGTGGCTCAGACGCCTGGCATACAGATCATGTCGACCGTTCTCCTAGATATTGATTTTGTATGACCGTGATAGTACAATCACATGCATCATGTTTTCATTCGCCAAGGGTTAGTCCGACGCACTTATTAATTTTGTTTCTCGCGACCACTGCCAGGGTATTATTTGCGGCTTCTGGCTGGCCACATTCAAATCTGTGAAGACGCCCTGGGACACGCCCAGCCCGCTTTCGGCCAATGGCGCCTCTTCATTTGCTTCCTATACTTTCCAATGAATGACCAAACTCTTTCTATGTATACACCTTTCCAAAAAACGCTCCTAGGCCACTGCCATGTTGCTGATGCTGATGCGGCTGGTGCGACTCTCGCGCCCTCTATCAGCTAGAAATTTTCTGCCACCCTCTGGGACTGTGAAGACCCGCTCGGCGTGGTTCTCTACCTATGTTTTTGCGGTTTTGCATTCAATGTTTTCTCGCCCCTCTTGAAAGTTTCCACTTAATTTTTTTTATGCGTGCTGCGTACCCTTTTTGTGTTATCTTCCACTGTGATAAATAAGGCTGGTAAGTACCTGCCATTCAAGCTTTTCTGCTCGACATTCACGGGAAAGGAAGGAGGTGAAGGACGTCGAACGACCCTCGACGCGATTTTGCAAACATTGTTCTTCCCCCTCCCAGAGATAATCCGCGTAGAATCCTCAGTCGTCTCCAAATATAGCTGTCCGGGTTGGGGTGAGAAACGGGTCAGTCGCGTTTGTTTCTTTGCTTTGGTGCGGTTATGAGAAAAGGTAGCTCTTCCCAAAACGGGCCCCGAGACGAAGTCATCTCTGATTCCGTCCGATCATCAAGATGTGACTGTCGTCGACTGTGACTGTGTTATTTGAGATCTTTCTCAAATAAATTCTTTTTGGATAACGCTGCATCGCGTGGTACGTACGATATATTGTTTGAATGTTACCACTTCCTCAATTGTATGTCCGTGTCCTGTCCATCGGTAAACACGTTATTTGTGAGCATGAAAAATGCATGCCTTGCGGCCCTCTTCTGTTGCAATTTATTTTTGACAGCAAAGCGCTTTGTCGTTTCACATGCGGTGAATCCTGCGGCGCCGTCAAAGCTTATCGTAAGAAATAAACACAAACAACTAGAACTATACATTCCAATCGAACTCGTTCTGTCGCGCGCGTACCCAACAAAAATAGTTTAGTTTTTTTTTTTTTTTTTTTTTTTAAATGTGGGACAATTCTTTCTCAATGTCCTCTGGAAAATACATGTAGCATGAAACACAAAATATAGCGGGAAACGACGATAATTTATACGCCAGCAGTGTTTGAAACTGCGCCTACACAGGCTGCGCCTATTGACATCACAGTCCACTCGGTTAGGGTTAGGAGGGACGCTGGTGAGAGTCTAGCCTCAAACTCAGTGACTGGGCTCGAAAACAGTTTGTTGCCCCTGGGGTTGAGTGTTTTTTGGAAAGGTGTATAAGGATGGCTAGTTGGGCTAGTTGGTTTTGCATCATGATGTAAAACACCAAAACAACAGAGACGAAAAAGAAGGGAGAACTGGACAGGACGTGGCGTATTACACCATGGTTTCTACGTATAGCTCTGCCCGCTTGGTCTGGAGGTCGATGACACGAAAACTTTATCACGGGTGACGTCAGAACTGTGCAGTGTGCAACCACGTCCTTTCTTATCTGCTGGCCTGCTTTCTTCAAAGCGACGTGCTCCTGTCTGATCGTAACGGCTGTACATGCCGCTTCGGCAGCCCTGATTCCACAATCTTCGCTCATCACTCTGGACAGCTGCCGAGCTCACGTGCTCTGCGGCACGAGCAGTTCACGCAACTCGCTCGCGCGACTTGTCGAAGTGTTAAAAACAGTTGTGTGCAATTCCGCAACTCCGCCTCGGAGGTTGCGACGGGGAGGGCTGCACATTTGCCTCTACCGGACTCTGAGCCACGGGCATTTGCTTCTTGCGCATCCAACATTGTCATGTGGCAGGAACCCTAAACGTTTCTTCAACTGCTGCCATAGTTCTACGGAAATTTGTGCAGCTGAGTAAACCTACGCATAGACCAATTTTCTTGAAGCGTGGACCAACCACTGGTCTCTATTGTAGTAGGCTGGATTCAAATCGGAAGTCTGTCGGTGGCGCCACCGGCAGCCATTGCTTGGCACCAAGCAATACGTGCCTTGCACGGGACGTCATATGGCTCCATACCATTCCTGTGCCCGTACCCTCTGGGACATACATTTTGGCAGCATCGAATCTGTTCTTCTCCGCAAAGTTCTCCGAGAGGAAGAAATTCATTGGTCCTAAATGTGTGCTCCGGAAGGTACGGGCACTGGAGCATGGTCCGCAGCAATGGTGGCTGATGTGACGTCAATGCAAGTCGTGTATACACGCAAGTCTATGGGAGAAACACACAAAAGAAGGAAATTAAAGCTTCTACACAGTGTTCGAAGGCATGTATTTTACGATGTGCTGCAATAATTTTATATTGTGTTTGGAGGTTGAATTGCGATTTCTCAAGCATTCGAATGCCCATTAAAATATTGTGCTATAGCACCCATGGCTGATCTGGCAAGCTTGCTCTCGTGGTGGAGTGAACAAATAAACTTGCTGTCAATAATGCCGTCGTGGGGGAGCCCAGAAGTTGCTGAACGTCAACAAAGTTCCATATTGGCAGCGTCTTTCCGGGAGTGAGCGAAATCATAGCAGAGCCTTCAAGCTTGTCACCTGCTAAACCCGACTCATTGAAACCGCCACCGACTCCGAGGTACCTCTAGGTAACTCTCTTCTCAGTGAGCTGCTCTACATTTTTTGCCCAGTAGAGTCACTCTCGACAACAAAACATTTCTATATAACAACCGCGAGGGTTGTCAGATTTAATGTTTGTGCACTAGCTATTTGACAGGCTTCCCGACAGCAGCCAAAAGATTCAGTGACGACAACAGTTTACGAGCGGGGGAACGTCACTTTTCTTTGTCTTTCCCATAGAGTTTTATGCATTAGCCAATGTCAAGTGATGGGCGCTGGTGGCACCACTCCTCCCTATTAAGACGAGCCTCGATCCGTGATCCAGCTTACTACAACAGAGATCAGTGGCACCAACTAGCCCAGGTACTGATGTCGCTGGCTTTCTGGCGCAATATAATAAATAACATGCTGAAAAGAGCAGCGCCATGACATGACGTGGTGAGGCTAGCCTCTGTGATGCAGCTTCTTCGGTAGGTGCATCCCCTCTGACCTCATCGCCCGTCTGTCTATGCTGAAAGAAGCAGTGGTGAATCTCCTTCGTGGGATTGCCAATGGGAGCAGCTTCATCTCCATCTTTGGCAAACTCCACCGGCGAACCAACTCCATTGTGACGTCGGTCAACACGCACGACTGAGTTGAAACTCTATCGGGATTTTTCCCTTAAAGTGTCCCCACTAAGAATCTCAAAACACCGCGGTGAGTATAACAGTAAAAATATTATTTTTAAGTTGGCAAAATGAATAGCATGAGACAAAATTAAAAAAATATATTCCTGAAATCTGGTTGCATGAATTAGTACCTAATGTACTGAAATAATGAATACTGTCACGGGTGGTGACCAAAAGAAAACAGAAAATGAACAAGAAGAAATAAACGTTTAATGTGGCGAACTTGTGCCAAAAATAAAAGGGTACAAAAGAAAACAGCAGAGCGTCGCGGGCGTCGATATCGGCGAAACCGAAGGATCGAGCGCAGAGGCGAGACTGACTCGACAAGGTCGCGAGCGGCGTCTTATCTAGAGTGAGTCACTATCTCGAAGATTCGGCGGAGAAGGTTCGAGCGTAGCGCGCTCGCGGCGAGAATGTACACGCACTTTCTAGAACAACATAAGCAGGGATAAACGACAGAAGTTAGGTCCGGAGCAAGAATAAACGAGAAAGTACTAGAAGTCCGTGACCCTGCGCGCGGCAATACAATCAACGTTAACTACAACCCTTTACGTTGCGAAGACAGTTGTGGCCGACAACGCTAAGAAGCGCAAGCTAGGTCGCTACGTCTCGGCACGACAGTTTGCGCTTCTCCTGGACTTTCTCGGTGAAAGTCGAGTTTTCTCGGGGACTGCTACGGAGAGCTTTGTTACCAAGGAGGAGCGAGATACACTATGGGGCGTAATAGTTTGAGAGTTAAATGCCCTTCGGCCATAAAGAATAACTTTCTGGAACTCACGTGCATGCCAGACGTGGGCTTGCGACCTGAGAGTCTCGTGTCCCTAACAGAAGACCGGTGCAAACCTGCCAACTCTTCCGAATTTTTTGTAAAATGTATGAATTGGGACTAATTCTACGATTTTACGAATCTTGCTTCAAATTTTACGAAAAAAAGATACTTTTTTCATTTCTATTTTTTTAAACATTTTTTTCGTAAAACCGTTGCTGGCGGTACCTCACACTGCCACAAGAGGGCGACAGGTGCCGTCCACGGCAGCGTTGTGGTTTTTACTATCCGTCTATCCGGGGGCCACATATCCAAAATCAATCCAAAGCCCAAAGCCTTTGTTTGTGTGTTTGGCGGCGCATGTTGGTTTGGCGTGTTCAGACGTGGTTGGGCCTCTGTTTCGGCCAGTTTCGAGGCGAGAAGTGCAGCGTCTGTGTTTGTTACACGTGTAATCATAGCATTCCCCTGGTTGCGGTGGCTTCGCGGTGCAATGGCAAATTCCAAACCTAAAAAGAGGTACTTTCAGGTGTTCTTGAAGTCCTACACGTCGGAATTCCAGTGCTTTGTGCCGTCCAAAAAGGAGAGAAGTTTGGATTCTGTAGCACGTGCACGTGTAACGTAAGCGTTTTGCACGGTGACAAGGCTGACATTAAGCCTTGCCACCTTGCGAAACAGCCCCCCCCCCCCCCCGCAATTGCGTAAGTTTTACGAATTTTAATGTCCACAGGTTGGCAGGTATGCCGGTGGAGGCGCGAGTGATGGGCCGTCCCTAAACGCGGAGCAAGAAAAATTATTATTTTTTGTGGGGACGGATTTCTCTCGAGGAGGCGGGCGTGCGCCCCCGACAGTGGACGCGCCGCTGTGGGACTTCACGGCTGCAGCAGCAGCTTCGATAAGTACCGTGAATCTCTTGGATCATGGGCATACACCATGTTGCTTTTTACCTTATTGAACACTAATGTACAAAACAATGTGGTGCGAATGTATTGCCTCGTGGTGTTTTCCACGAAAGCTTGGATATCGGGGCTGCAGCACATTTCTAGACCCACTCGGAGACAATAAATCCGTGACATTCGAAAAAAAAAATAATATTGAGTTTAGGGTGCACACTATTAGACACAGGTATAACTAGAAGGGCTGTATAGCGTTGTGGCGTGTTACATAGTTGAATTATATTATGCAGGGGTCTGTGGCTGAAGGCGACATGGCAAAGGGAGGAGAGGAGGAACGTCCTGCGCAAGTGGCATGCCCCCTACCACCGAATGGTACGAACGGTCTGGAGTTGATACGGCACGGGATCTGCTGTCCATTCGGCAGGACCAGCTGGCTGTCCAGCGAGAACTGCTGGCCACACAGCAGGGTCTGCTGGCCACCCAGCAGCAGCAGCTGGCAGTTCAGCAGAAAATGCTGCTCGTGCAGAGAGAGGCAGTCGATGCACTCCGTCGACTTGCAAGCGTAGGTGTTAAGAGAACTGTAGTGTAGTGCACTCCCAATTATTGTTGTTAGGCTGATTTTGGTCAACCCTACTTTAGCCAGTTAAGTTAGAAGGCAGTGTTCTTAGACTCAAACTGAAACCAGATATGATTTGTATGTGTATTTGAAGTGTCCAACAGCGAAGGCTTTATTTTGTTTATTTCAATGAAACCTTCCAGTGCAATAATGCTAATGAAAATTGGCAAGCCTTGAGACAAAATTTTTTCAACTTATTGAAAATTACCATACTGTGCTCGACAATCCGAACTACTACGTCTAAACCGTGGTTCAATAATCCACTTCATCGTTTATCTCATAAAAAGAAAAGATGTTTCAGGAGCGCTAAAAAAGGAAATACTTGGCCTAAGCTTGCCACTTGCTCTTCCGAATAAAAAACTATGTTAAAGGGGTGTTAGCACACATTCTTTCTGATAACTCTAAGCAGACATTCTTTCTGCAAACTCTACCTAATATGTTAATAAACAACCCTCGCAAATTTTGGAGATTTGTACTGTGAAATTAATCTAGTGAATAGCTCTTGTAATAACATATTGAATAGTGAATGTGTGAATATTTAAATAGTGCGTTTTCTGATGCTTTCACTATTTCTACACCCATTACTGGAATTTCTCCTGTTATAGAGAATGATTTTCCAATGGATTCAATTGTTATAAACATTCAGGGTGTTTTCAGCGGTATAGAAAACCTCAAAATATCTCCATCATGTGGCATAGAGGAAATCATTACGAAGGCTCTCACTAACACTAAATTTTCATCCGGTCTTTACTTCAAAGATATTTGAGCAGTCCGTGGACACAGGGGTGTTGCCCTCTGACCGGAAAATTAGTAAGTAGGCCAATATCACTCACCTGCCTCTACAAGATCCTCGAGCATGTCATTTACAGGCACCTGATTAACTTCCTGGATTCCTGCAATTTCTTCACCAATGTGCAGCATGGCCTCTGGAAACGCCTTTCTATTGGGACCCAACTACTTATTATAACTAACGATTTGTTTAAAAATCTTGACACCGGCTTTCCTACTGACGGTGTTTTGCTTAATTTCGCCAAAGTTTTTGCTAAAGTCCCGGACAATCGCATTCTTCTTAAACTTTCTTTCCTAAAACTAGATCCTCATGTTCCTAAGTGGATTGAATCATTCCTTATTCATCGCTCTCAATTCGTTTTCACTAACAGCACATCCTCCTCTTTCTCTCCCGTTTCTTCCGGTGTTCCACAGGAAATTGTGCTTGGGCCTTTGCTCTGTTTAATCTACATTAATGATCTCCCTCTTCACATCTCATCCTCTGTTCATCTTTTCACTGATGACCTGTGCTGTTTATAGACTAATAAAAAACCCATATGACCATGTTGCACTCCAGAACGGCATTTAAGGGGAGACACTGCTCTTTGAAGCAAAATTTTACTAAGAAAACACATTTTTAAAAATGTGTTTTTTGAAGTTTGGCAAGCACTTATCATCTTGTCCTGAAGGATTTTCGACATATTGAATGAGGGCTACAAATATATTAAATAGGCTGTCAGGCTTTTTGTGGGTGCCTTTTAGGCATCCGGCAAAAAATGATTTTGAAACTGGAAGGTTCAAAAGTGTCATAAGTAATTTATAAATCATCCTAGAGCTTTCATTTATACCTTATTGGATTGCACATACCTCTCAGTTCACTGATCTAGGTTTATTTTCTGAGCTCAGTATTTTAATTTGCGTTAATACTTTCCATAATCATTGCAAATTAAATTTTCAATATTAATAAATCTAATTAGGTTACCTCAAAACAAAGTACATATTTGTAGTCCGATTGTAATGCCAAATAAGCCATGTAAATTTCATTTTATTTGAATCGCAAGTTATATAAAAAAGCTCTTGAAGCAGTGTGTCACACATGGCAGGTGTGTCTCAACATTAGCAAATGCACACACCTTTGCTTTACACATTCTTGCTTCCAGCCCTTAAACTCGTTAACATTCAATGGCACTACCATTCTGACTGCTACACAGTAAAAATATCTAGGCGTTCGTTTAACCACTAATATATCCAGGAATGTTCATGTCGACGAGACAATATCATCCTCAAACCGCTCACTCGGTTTTGTTTGTCGCAATTTCAACTCTGCCTTTTCTATTCTTAAACGTCTCCTTTACGCCATGCTTGTTCGCCCTAAACTAGAGTATGCTTCAGCTATCTGGCACCCACATCAGTCTTTTTTTAACTAACGCAAATCGAATCTGTCCAGAATCGTGCTGCTCGATTTATTTTTTCTAATTAGTCTCGCTTTTCTTGTGTCACTGCAATGAAATGTCAATTAGCTCTTCCTGATCTTTCCGTTCGTCGCAGAATTTCCCGTCTTTGCCTTTCCATAAAATGTACTATTCGGAACCATTACGACAGTCTCTCCTCAGCCAGCCCAGCTATATCTCTGCAAGACTCGATCATTCGTGCAAGATTACCCTTCCCAAGACCATTTCAACATTCCCTTCTACCAGAAGCTATTGTAGACTGGAATGGCCTTCCAGATGATATTGTCACCATCACCGATAACGCTAAAATCAGAACTGTACTAACCATGCACTCCCCTCTGTAATGCCCTTCGGGGCCTTGAGGGTAATTCTAAGTAACTAAAGAAACAAATAAATAATATTCCGCCACCAGCGTGTGTTCGTGTAATTATAGGAAACTGGCCTCGTTACTGAAGGACTTGTCACGCGGCAACTCTGCCGTCAGTGTAACTAAAATGCATCATTCGCAAGCGCAGGCAAGGACGCCACCAAGGCAGCTCCAAAGGGGAAAGAGAACAGAGTAAGGGTGGATTTACTCGCCCCACATACGCCTTTGATCAGACTTCTCGACTTCTTTCGTTAACACAGCCATTCTCTTTTCTTCTGTGCTTTAGGAGCACCTAAAATGCCAGTAACTCGTTGTCTACGAGTAATCTAATAAGGTGAATGGTGAAAACTGCTCTGCAACATGACTGCACAGAGCTTACCAAGGTGAAAAGTTGTTTGGCAAAAGTTTCGTATTGTATTGCTTGCAACGCGTCTGAAAACCTCTGGCGTGCTTTTAACTTTACTAATGTGTTGCGTAACAGTTTGCATTTTGTGCATAATGCGCTCCCCTTTTCCTGCAGGCTGTAGAGGGACAAGCAGCAGCAAGTGCGCACCAGTCGTCCGCACTGACTTCGCTAGTGCTTCAGCTCGTCGGTGTGCAGAATCTCCATCCGCCAGCCGAATAAAGTGGGTCTCTATGCTCCATTTCATTTTTGGCACGGGTTACACCACCGTTACTTGAACATCTCAGTTGAAAAACTGCCATAGGTGTCCGCTTTGCAGAATTGTTAAAAGCGAGCAGTCGCAGTCCCGCTGTTCTTGCTGCAGCGGCCATTTTGTAAACTGTGGCTAGACCAAACAACATCTGTGCCTCGATGGGCTTCTCAAGCGTGGCACTGCTCCCCATTGTAGCTCGCTGTGGCTCGCGTGTGGTGTCCGCATTTGAAGACCAACTTTCCTTAACTGGTATGTCGTAGTAATCTTAGATTACGCCACAAGCGAACTTGACATGCAGAAAGAAGGAATTTTTATCAATGTAGACTGCTTTGTAACATCTTCCAACTATTCATATTTGTTTATTCAAAGTGTTCAATAATGGCCGAAGTGTCTCACTTGGTGCACTTGTTAGTAACAGGAATACAAAGGATTTCCAGCAAGGAAGCCTAAGGAAGCTCGAGCACTTCCTAAAGGACACATGCAAAGGACTAATAAAGTTTTTTTAAACAGCCTGGTTGGGAAAAGGAAGTCATAAAACGAATTCACAAGGAAAATAAAACTTTTAAGAGCTATATTCACGGCGCTATACGAATTTGTAGTTGGCGCCGGCGGGCGCTGCGGAAAAGTGGCTGCTAGTTGTCACGTGACTGGTCGCTATTTGTCACGTGGTGCTTCCGCTCTATCGGAAGCTTCCTATGGTCTGTAAAAGTTAGTTATTCATCTTTATTTCAAGTGCAACAAAACACAAAGATTAATCGGTAACTTTTCGAACCCAAAGAAAGCTCCTGAAAAAGCGGAAGCAGACGTTATAGACCTGTGTGCCGGTCAGATGACGGCGGCAGCGCTGCGGGGTAGACAAACTTGCGCGGCGGTGGCGGTGTGGAGAAATGAGTTGACGGCGGCGCACCACGCTCAGCGTGCAGCGGCGGCGTGACTGTGAGTCGACTTTGAGACGGCGCACAGGTCTATCACATGACTTGCGGCGGCTCCCACGGGCGCAACTACAAAATCATTTTGTGCCGTCAATATAGCTCTAAAATGTTTTTTTCTTCGTTCTAATTTTATTTTATAACATTCTTTTTCCATCTGGTCTGTTTACAAAAAAAATGTTTTTTTACTTCGCATGTGTCCTCAAACTTTTAGTACTTTATCGTTAGAAGTTGGAACCGCGTTCCCGCAAGATAAATCGTGATTTGATAGAACTGAAACGTGATCCGATCCGAAACCTTGCCGGCCAGCAGCTTTCACGCGATCGGTAGATCTGTTTGGTGTACTTTAACCTTGCACCTGCTTGTCACTTCGAATACGATAACTTCGTTAATCGTAGTCTGCTGCTTCGATATTCAGTTGCACAATAGGATAAACTCGAAATTTGGTGCCCTGTTCCTCCGCGCAACTCCGCGTCCGTTGCTTACGCACGTCACGTGGTTCGCACATATAAGTACTATGTCGAGCACGTGTGGGTTGTGTGATAAGCAGAGCTGGTTTGCATTTTGAGCAGCTGAAAGCCACTAAGAAAATAATCAGACTTGTACCCGTCACTGAAAAAGTAACCGATGACAGTTACAATCACTTTGCTGTATAAAGTACCCGACTACAATTACAATTACAGCCTCAAAGAAGTAATCGAAAAATTACTCTAAAGTAAGCAATTACTTCCCACGTTACTTTTCATTCAAACTTTTTTTATGATAGCATAATCCGTGGAATCTCGCGCTCAGTTGTTAAAGAAAAAAAAAAAGAAAGCCTCGACTGTTTTTGCTTAAAGCGCGAAACACACGTACAACCAAACCGTCCGATCCGACGTCTGACCGCGCAATACGACGGTCGGAGGCAAGGGTTTTCAACGCTCTCCGATGCTGCGGAACCCCCTCGCCCCCCAAGGTCATTCCGGCAGTCCGCACGTCGGATCGGACGGTTTGGTTGTACGTGTGTTTCGCGCTTAAAGCTGAGTGAGTGATGGCACACACCTAATCCCTCACAAGAGGCTAGATAAAGTCATTTTTCATACCCATAAGTAGTCTCCGGTGTAGAAATAAAAATGTACCCACGAAAAAGAAGCATAGTAAAGTGGCCTACTAATCCTCACAGCCTCGTGCTTAATAATTTCGAAAAAAAAAAGCCCGTTGCCCGGAGCTGAATAACTCCAACTCCCTCCCCCCCCCCCCCCCCAAAAAAAAAAAAAAGAAATGAGGAAGATTGTAATGGGGGGTAATTTTGTAATCGATTACAGCAAACAATTAGTTCAACTAAAAAGATCATTACCCCTTAAAGGAAGTAATCGAAGCGTCACAAAATTGCAGTAAAAATAATCAATTACAAGTAATCTTGTAACACGTTACGTACGAGTCTGGAAAGTATAGAGGCTCACAAAGTTTCAAGTTTTCACACCTTTTACACTGTTATCCCATCTACCTAGGTCCCTAACCACTCATGTTCATCTGTGCTGCTAAGCGCTATTGAAATTGCTCCCGTGCGTGTCTAAGACACAAGCTGAAGTGCAATGAAAACTGATCTGAGCTGCTCCTAGCCTGCTCCAGAACATAGTTTTAGCTGCTCCCAACCTGCTCCTAAACAGCTGTTTCAGTTGCTCCCGTGGCTGTTCCCAAGGACATTTCGTGAGTTCCACCCCTGCACTAACTACGTCACCGGACCTTGTCAAGTCCATTCAATACTGCGACGGGCTCCGTGATTATAGGTTACAACATGTCGACTTGCCACTCCGTTCTCGTCAAACATTCTATTTCCAAGATCATTCGCGATTATAATGAGGCTGATTATAGATGAATAGATCATGGGTTGACAATCTTTTTTGACCATTACATTTAAATTGTCCTCTTCCATCAGTAGAGGAAACCGGCATTATTTAAAGCTAAAATGAACAGTCTTATAAATATGTTTGTTCCGACAGCCTGAGTATGCACTGATTCAAATAACCCATGGTTCACCAAAATGCTGCTCTTTTTGCATAAAAAGAAAAGGCTATTTGCAAAGGCTAAACGTGTTAACACCTCAAGCTTTGGGTGCTTATAACTTTGCCCTTAAAAACTACAATAAAAAGTTGAAATTGGCTAAGTTTTGTTTTTATGACTCGCTGTTTATTTTGAATGGTAACCCAAGGAAGTTTTGGAACATGGTGTCACCAAAAAGCAATACCTCTGCCATCAAACCAAGCCGCGACAATGGCGATCCCATACAAGAAAGCGACTGCTCTGCAAATTACGACCCCAGCCAAAATATTACGTCTGTGGGACGCCGCATTCTCAACTAATGCCGATAATAAAAATGCGACCCGCCGCAAGCCGCTGCTCCTTAGCGGGCGGCAAGCGGTTTGTCGATCGCCAAAGCAACATTGGGCCGTGACGTCAGTATCCTTCTCTTTTTTTCCTCTGGTCCAGGAGTTGCGCGTAGTGCGCTTCTTTGAGCCACTACCACAGCTACTTCGGCTTGCGATTGGCGTGTTTAGCCGTTGCTTTTATCTGTAGCCCGTGTAGCTTCGGTATAGATTTTTGTTTATTTGCTTGTGAGGACTTCAAGACTCGTTTTAGCGAGCAACTCGGTGCGCCCAAGACTGCCCAGCTGTTCCTCGAAAGATGCCGAGCGCAACTTGTAGCGCTGTGGGCTGCTCAAACAACCCGCTGTGCAACCCGGAGGTGCTTCTTCACAAGTTTCGAACGGACCGGAAATTGAAGAAAGTGTGGGTGAACGCTGTTCGATGAGTGGACTTTGGACTTCGGCTTTTATGCGCCCGAGGAAAAAAGAACGAAAAAACAGAGGTGTACAGCCCAGCACTCGTGTGTTCGGACGCCGCAGCTCGCGCCGTAGAGCCTCAAAGCTTCGTGTCTGGGACTGACCCGCAGCGCGAAAGTGAGAGGGCCCCCAGTACTGTACGTCACTGGCAGCACAGCGTAGAGCAACGCCGCTCCATCCACAGAGCCCCGATGACAATTTAGGTCTAGCGACGAGTACGGAAGACCACACACACGGCGACAGCCGCAGAGTACGGCACCGAACGAGTTCACTTGTTGTCCAGTCGCTAGCTTTTGGGTATACAAGCGACGAGTACGGCATAGCGCACGCATGGCGGCGGCCGCCGAGTACGGAATCGTACGAGTTCACGGGTTTTCCAGTCGCTAGCTTTTGGGTATATGCACTAGCCCTTGCTACATATGCTGGATAACTACCACGTATACAGAATTAAAACAAAATCAGCTTACCTCCTATCTTTAGACGGCTAGCGCAACAGAGGTAGGTGCCGCTCGGCGTGCGTGCTCGTTGAACGAGAACGATCCTGACGTCACGTTCACATAGCGGTTGATTTCGAGCGTTGCCGGAGCCTCGAGCGGCTAGTTTCGGGTTTGTTGGCCGCGCCCCAAACAAAACTTTGAGGGGTCCATATCTGTAGAACTACGCACAATAACGAGAAAAAAATTGCACCTTGCAGTTCAGGGACGCTGACTGGACTAAAAACAGTCATAATCCCAAAACCGAAAGTATGGACCGGAGTTGCCCTTTAACGTTTGCTCGGCTGAAGTGGAAAAGGGTGGGAGGAGCTTCCACTTCGTTCTTGACCTGTCACCGACTCTAGGTGCATCTTTTTAGCCACACCTGCACTGGTGAAGAAAATTGTAGGGCAATGTATTTACGGTTCTATCTCGATACACATGCCAGAAGTACACCACCTTGCACTTTCTTACACATGCCAGAAGTACACCACATTGCACTTTTTCACACCGCTGCAGGTAGTGCAACTAAAAAAATGCACCCACTCAAAAAAAAAAATTTGTATCGGCCCACCAAAGCTCTGTCAAAACCTCTTTGAACACAGTGTTTTATCAGCCAAATTTTATGAAAATGTGTACCAAAAGAAACCCTGACAGAGACATTTACGAGAGCAAACAAGTGGACTACATTGACTGCTTAGGCTTATAAAGAGAAACAAAAAAACTAAAAAAGGAAGAAAAAAATATCTGCATTACGATTTAAGAGCATGTCATTGCAACGAACTGGTGAGCATAGAATGTGTGAAGTTCTGCGTGCACATGATGTATGTGGATGCAAAAACATGCCTTCACCCCAACCCAATAAGTGATTTCCCACATCAGAAGCCGCCTCGGTGGCTCTGAGGCGAGAGCACCGGCCTACAGGTCCTCAGGTGGCGGGTTCGAATCCCGACCGAGGTGCCCGCAATATGACGGAGGCTTATTGCAGAGAAGGCACTGTGTAACCGAGCTCCGCAGGTGGTCCAAATTAATCCTCAGTCCTCCGCTGGGGCGTGCCAGATGCCCGTCATAGGTGCCAGATGCCCGTCATAGGTTGGGCACGTAAAACCCCCAAATTTGACTTTCCCACATCAGAGCTAAAATTTGTGCAGCCACCCACATTACATGGATGTAGAACTGTACACCTTCTGTGCTTCCCAGTCTTTGATGAGATATGATTAAGCTTGCACAGCGCGACTCCAGTGAGCTGAATGATTACGGCAAGCATGCCAACACCGCAGAGCATGACAAGCTCGATGAGAGAGGGCGTCCACCTTCCTGACTTTCCGACGCTGCATTGCTAGTGTTCTTTCTTTGAGGCTCCTAGTGCCAGTGTCGCTGTTGGTGTCGCTACTGTCATCATTGTACCCGCAGTCAGACTCTTCCTACACAAAGGGGTCTGGGGCAGACTCCGGAACGGAGCTGTGTAAGCAAACATTGTGCAGAATAGCACATCCTGTTGCTAAATTACGTGCTCTTTCTGGGTCGTAGTGCAGAGCGTGGTACTTCTGCAGGCACCGGAACTGGTTTTTCAGTTTACCAATGCATTGCTCAACAACAGCGTGTTGAGCGGTGTTGGCCGAGGCCAGACTCGACAAGACGCACCGCTCAACACGCTGTTGTTGAGCGCTGCCTCTTGCTGGGGTTGCCAGAAATAGGGGTGAGTAGCCAGGGCTCCAGAGGTAGCATCTGTCACCTGCAGACAAAAATGGAACCGTATTTGCCATGAATGTTCTCGCATAACATTTCCAGGAGTTGTCTGAAAGTGCACTTATACTAAAATGGGGCTACTGGTATGGTTTTATGACTTTCGAGAGGACCTGCTGATTGAAAGTCAAACTGGCAGGAAAAAATGTTATGTCGGTAATTTAATTGGCTTGCTCAACCATGTAAATAATGTCTTGCAAACCTGCATCGCCCATTGTTGTTTACCTCAATCTTGGGTAGAGGCTACAAGGAACAGCCACCAGATCTTTTGTTTCGTAAGTATATCTGACCTAGCAATGTCAGTTGTGCTGCTCTGACCATTGGCCACTGAGTTTGGTCGTTTAAAGTTATCTAGAAGCACCATTTTTTCCTGCTACACAAGGAAATTTGAGCTATCAAACATTTTCATCCCTGAACCAGTGCTGGTAGCTTGTAATCGGAGACTTGGGTGGGCAGATTACGTACTACGAGATGAACACTTGATGGGTCCAGTGACAGCGTTACAAATATTACAGTTATACCCAGGTTCTACATTTAAAATAAAAGATACGTCGAATAAGAGTACATTCATTAGTGGGAAGAATGGTACAGATCTTGGGGCTTTAACGGAGACAGAATAATCTCATTGGCTCGGGCCAGACTCTCTCGGGCCACAATTATTTGGCTCCTGGGTTAGCATGCTATGAATTTTGGTGTAAGTAGGAAATAGCCTAATGCAGGACGCCAACCAACTGCTCTTCGCTGCAAAACCGAACTGTCGGCGCATGTCAACCGAAGCACGTTTTTGGGGCTGAGAAACGTAAGCGGAGATGATCGAGCAAGAAGAAAAGTATGCCAGTCATTCCAGAGTATCATGCCTGGTCTGTGAGCATCATGGGAGAGGTACGATTACAAGAACCAGAGGCACCTTGTCTCCGGCTTAGCGAGAGACCTAACGGCCATCGACTCATCTGTCTTCCGGACCTGGTTTCCTCTGTGAATCTTTACGTTTGGCCCTGCGTTTCGGGGTTAAAGGCCGACGACCAGACTCGAGATTCTGCAAGGCAGAATTTCCTCCTCACCATGGGAGAGGAGGAAGCGAGGGAATAGTGGAAAGCGCAAACTGGTCGTCGGTTTTTAAGGAGCAGACGTATGCAATCCTGGAAGTAACAAACAGCCTGTCGTGGGAAAACCAAGGTTCGGCACGTAGGGGCAAAAAAGCCTGCACACGAAATATAGGCAGCATGCCCGGCTGCCTCCTTGATACCGAAGCAAGCCCTTAAACAATCAGCAAAAGCAGAGCTCTGTGTCATAAGTGTGCCGGGACTCCTCCAACTAGACCCTGAACCCGGAAAACGCGACACTTGGTCTCCAAAAACTGAGAAAAAACAGGGTGACCAGATTCTGACAAAGACTGTATTTCGACTGACTAAAACAGGTTATCTACAATCAAACAGCAAAACGTGTGAAGGGGGAAATGGTGAAAACTAAGAGCTGAAGTGGAGAGGAGCAACGTCCTTTCCACAACGGGTTGTTTCGTGCGTGCCCGTTTTCTCTTCGCTGGGGCCGCGCCACTACGGGAAGGGACTGGGGAATGTCTCCTATATTTCTAAAACTTGTCGCGCAACCCGTTGCAAAATGGCCGAGTGGCTTCCCCGACGGAATGTATCCTGAATGGTCGCATGATCTGACCTAGAGACCCGTTAAAATAATTTTTGATAGGGGCTGTAGTTTCACGAAAAGGATTGGGACAGACCTCACAGGTCTCTCAAAAAGCTATGATGGGTCTCTTACACCCCTCAGGAATTGTTAAAGGGTACTCAGGCCCCTTAGAGAACTTTGACGGTCATCTAAACTATACTCGCCGTCCACGATCAAGCCCTTGCAGCATGCTAGATGAGCGCTTAGTTTCGAGGCCTTCAAAAACAAATCTCCCTTCCACCCCTCCGAGGGAAAGCAAGGTTCAACCTGTCGTGCTTCCTCCAGCAGCTGTCGATGCTCACACATCGTGGACATGGCAGGGTTAGAGATACTGTGCTTACGTTCATACTTCTTAGGCCATGCCCGTTGGCGCTGCTTCGGTTTAAAATGGTCAGTTTGGTCTACAGGGGAGATGCGAGGCACGGCACCACGAACGAGCTCCCATTTTCCTCTCGCTATTGTCGTTGCCTATTTTTTGTGTGTACACTGTCGGAACGTGCGCACTGTTAATGTGGAGACTGCACATGGTAATTTGCCGAGAAAGACTGGCGTGTGAGCAGTATCGCGAGGTCCCAAGGTGGTTTTTTCTGGATGTCTGCTGGTGGCTTAAATAAGTGATGTTTTTCTTTCTTGCTTTTGTAACAGTGTTGTTAGAGAATTTAGTATATTTTACCCCTCCATTCAATCGAAATTGTCACCGATGGTAAGGATGCAGATTTGTGGTAATGAACAGTCCTCTCATGTTAATATATTTTCAATTCCTGATTGCATGTTAGTCTTTTCTTTTTTACAAATGGGGTACATTGTGTTAAGTCATGTACTACCATTTTATGTGCCACCACACATGACCTAGTGGTCGTTCTGGGGCATGATTCAAATAAAGCATTATTATTATTATTGTAAGGTATGCCAAAATGGTGCAACATCCAGAAAATTTACGTACAGTAGGCTGTGTCTTCATTTACATTTTAGCAGCACTTGTCATCTTAAGGTAGGATATTCTGGCATATGAAATGTGATTATGTTAATGATACAAGCTCACGAGCATATTTTGTCTGGTGCATCCCGCAGAACTTGGCTTGATTCGAGCGGCAGCGTGTTCGCTGAACGGCATCTGCTGTCTCTGCAGTCTAGATCAGGAATGAGGTAAGACTGCAACGGAAGCGGCTACGTAGATGTCTGCAAGGTGAGTGATGCATGCAGCCATTTCTTTGTTTGATATTGCGTTTCAAGAGAAGATGAAGCTGCGGCATTGTCTAAAGGTCCTGGTTTCTGCTTCCGCCTGGTCAACATTGCTGCCCCATGAATCGTGTCTCATCGACTCTTATACTTTTTGCGAGCTGACGTTTGGGCTTGTTGCTTTGGATAGAATGCTATGGTGGGCTTGGCCTGGAGCCAGCTGAATGTCTTTGTCCATGAAGCCATAAACGAGGACATAATAATAATTTATTGCATATGAACAAAGCGAGGTTGAAGTCAGACCTGCCTAAGCCACATTGGGCTTGACAGGCAGCGTCTTGGATGCTTGACATGGATGCTGCTTTCCGATTTCGGGGTCGTGCTGTTTCGCCTTTTGCTCTAAGGGCTTGTTTGTACGTCTGCTTACCTGGTGTGCCCCGTGTGATAATTGCTTAGCGGAGGGAAATCTTTAACGCGGTGAGAATCTGTTTTATTTGTTTCGGCCTCCTCACGCTTCGTTGTTGTGCGGTTGTGTTGCAACCTTCCTTGCATCGTCGGATCCTTTGGTCTCTTCTGGAGACACGCATTTGCATTCTTCTTGGCTAGAAAGGTGTCACCCTGTGTCATTTTGCCTGATGTGGCAGTTTGCGCAGTATGTCTCTCCTGAGTGCTTCTCTTCCGGGTGTGCTTTGCTGCACTCCTTGCGTCTTTCAGGTAAAGTTCATCTTGGTCTATATTTTTCATGATTTCTTGAATCGAAAACTGGGCTTGGACTTCTTGTAAAACTCCTTACTGCATCGTTTGGCGCAAGTCCGCAGACCTCCACTGTGTGCTCTGCTTTGCCAATCTTGGTTTGGGTTATGTGAAGTAATAGTTTCGCAACTTTAGATGGGATGCTCACTATTGCAGTGTTTTGGCTCTGGTTGATCTGCAGGCACCTGTTGGCTTGTTGCCCCATTGTGCTGGTGCCCTGAAGCTGGGCTAGAGCAGTGAGGACGCTTGGAGCCGGCCTACGTTGAGTCCGTTGCATGGTCGCAAAATTCGCTTAAACTCTTTCAGGGGAAAGGGTGTGGGCGTGGGAGCAGGTCTGCGGGTCGTAGCTCTTCTCAGCTGCCTCGGCGACGAAAGCGAAGGTGGCAGCGTGACTTGCTTTTGAGTTAGGTTTAGCTGTTGCCGAGCTCGTCGACGCTGTGCCTTCAAGACTACGTTGATCCAGAGTTGCCTTGTTTTCTTCGTTCCCGACGATGGGTAATCCTGGTTATCTGCTGCACTTGTATCTTTTCGGTAGATGAAATTATTTTTATTTATATCCAAGCTGATTTCCGAGGCATACGTGACAGCCGTGCAGCCCGCATCGGTTAAACCGGGCGGGGCCTGATTCATCGCCGTATTATTAGCTAGGCCTACAACGCTAACAGAAGGCTTAGCCTTCCCGCTCGGGAAAGTCTTCCTAATTTCACCACAATTGCACTCACCGGCGAAAAACTGGTGTCTTCATGTGCCTTTTGCTTAATAGAATATGGTGGTAATCACTAATTTGTGCAGAATATGATTTTTCTGAACTTTTGGGTGTGCAACACAGAGCTCATCAGAAACACACTTTGCCTCTACGGCGGCCGTCGGTGTTCCCCCCCCTGTAACGGGATGAATTGATTCATTCGTTCTTGAACGATGCGAGCGAAATCGTGAACCTTTTGGGCAACGTCGGGAGCACGGAGTGATTGAGGACCAGTCGTAATTGGAGAAATGATTGTACAAACTAACGTAATCTCCAGCGAAAAGATTGTGTCTATTCACTTCAGGATGTCTCCGTGAATAACATCTCATGCCATGTCAGATAGGTATACTGATCTCCAGTGGGGCATGATGTCCGTCCGGGGGGGGGGAGGGAGGGAGGGAGGAAGGAGGGAGGGAGGAGGAGGAGGAGGAGGAGGAGGAGGAGGAGGAGGGGGAGGGGAGGAAAGGGAGGGAGGGAGGGAGGGGGGGGGGGGAGAGAGAGAGGAGAGGAGCAAGGAAACCAAGCTTGACATACCCTCTGTTATATCTGTACAGTCTAGATTTGCGAAACATAGATCAAGCATGTTGCCCTGGGTGTTTGAGATACAGTTGTATTGTTTTAAATTTGTAAATGATGAAAAATTCAGCAAGAAATTAGATTTCTGAATAATATAGTAACTTCTAGAGGACACTGAGGCTGCTTTCCAGCATATGTTACAGACATTAAAATCTCCAAGAACTATAAATTTGAATTTATTCAGGGCCTTGGTTGTACACTCAATGCCCAGTAGACATTGGCGAAAACCATCTGGAGACGTGTCAGAGGGCAAGTAATAAGCGCCCAGGAGGATATGCTCGCCATTCGCACATGGCAGCTCTATCCACACTGACTCAAACAATGTCTCAAGATCCGGACGCCAAACACGTTGTAAGGACGCATCAATTTCTCTCAGCACTCCACCCAACGTCTTTTTCCTAGTAGAGAATACACGATCACGTCTAAGTACTGCAAAATTAGGTGGGAAGACATTGGATAAATAAATGTTAGAACAAGGCCAGGTCTCGTTTAGCGCAATAATAGACACATCAGTTAGGGTTACATTAGAAAAAAAGTTAGCTTTTGTGGGAAGACCTTGGACATTCTGATAGTAAATGTCTAGGTTACGTATCTCTTCCGGCATTATGGAAGAGAGGCGCTTCGAATACCGCTTGCTATGTGTGGCTCTCATTCAGCTGACCTGTCAACTCGTTGAAAAGGCTTCCCTCTGGCCAGAGAAGGGGATCAAAAAGTTTCTCTATTTCTTCATTTGCAGCCATCACTCGTAAGGACGAGTAGCTTTCATGCCGTGTCTTCAGTCGGGTGCACGCAAGCTCGCGAAGAGGGCCCTGCTTCCTAATGTGGGTTTAAAGGCTCGGAGGATCGCAAGATGGGCCGAAATGCGTCATGTGCACAGCGTGTTGGCGACGTGGTTTAGAGGGTGGCAGTGCCACAGGTGTACAGCTGGCTGACACACTTGCCCTCAACAACGGCCGTCTTGCCCTGGGGACCTTTGGCCCCTCCTTGCGGAACCCAGCCCCATTGAAGTTTGATGGAGCTTGATGGCATGGATGCCCTGAAGGTTGGACAGGGTCACCAAAGGAAGGGGATGGTGGCGGCTCATCGCCGCAGTTTAGGAAAAAGGCAGCTGTTTCCTGCCGGCCGGTTCCATTGGTTCCGAGTGTTACGCACAGCTCCGAGCTCAGTCCGCTAAGACAGTATGGCACTTGCGTGCAGCTGGGAGGTATACCTATACCCTTGGCAGAGCTGCGCGTTCTCGTCATGAAAGAGCAGCGACCTCGTGTGTGAGGAACGAGATCCCCTCGAGGGAGTTGAGGAGGAGGGCTTGTAAGGATTTCATGTCTGCATGAGGACCGCCTGGGGAAGAGGAAGGTTTCTCCGAACGAGTGGAAGCAGTGGGGGAGGGCGGTGCGGAGTGGTGGCTGAACGACGCTTCCGTCAAATCCGGCCTGGCTTCTGCTGTTAGGACTAGCAGCCCCGCTGATGTTTTGCAACTCTTGCAGATTAAGGAGCTTACCCCAGATTGCAGAAAGGTGGTCTTATTTTCCGTCCAGCAGGTATACTTGGTGTGGGCACATAGCTGGCACCCTGAACAGTGTAGAAACAGCAGTATTCCATAGAAGCAGCGGGAGCAGATTCAGCATGCGTCCTTTGCTGTGCGCAATAATAATAATAATAATAATAATAATCTTTTTATTCACACAACGCTTTCGGTATGTCAAATGACGGGTCCGTCTAAGCCGACAATTATTATTAATAATAATAATAATAATAATAATAATAATAATAATAATAATAATAATATTAACAGCATCTGTCCTTGCTGGGAGCAATAATACTACTACTATTACTGATAATAAGATTACTACTACTGTTAGCGCGTCAGGAAATACAGCGCTTTGTAACTCGGGTTTTTTATAAGAGACGAGAAACGTGAATACATTGTTAGGGTACAGGTTACAGACGTCCGACCCTAGTCGGCGTGATGGCGTCGCGCTCGACAACAGTTGTTGCTTTGCCGGAAGAAGGCTGGCGGCTCTGGCCAGTGTTGCCGCTTCCGGCCGCAACACTTCCCCCACACTTGGTGGAATGGTGGAACTACAAGTCCAGCCGCTCGGGCGGTCGGTGTTGTTGCACTGGACGCTGCTCCTTGCTTGGCTCCACGGTGGCCCTTGAAGTCTTTGGAGCCACTGAGGATTGGCCCCATTCTAACGTTAAATCCTCATTGCGCTCACTGGGTTGGTGCAGAGGGTCAGGTGTGTTGACCTCAAGCCTCAGGCGTAGCTGGTCATGATGTCTGCGGATCATCCCACCAGGTGTTTGCACCAGCGCCATGCGGTTTCCAAGTTCTTACGTGATGGTTCCACTCAGCCAGCGGGGTTCATTACCAAAGTCGCTTGCACAAACAGCCTGACCTCGGCTGTTTAGTTGCTGGCCATGCCAGTGGCTCCCTACTCGGTGGCATGGGAGCCGCCCGTTGGCACACTGTGCACCGGTGAAGCAACTCTTCCACCTCACGGTCAATGCCTGGCCACCACACCAGCGTGCGTGCCAGTGCCTTAGTTGCATTGACTCCCTTGTGAGTATCATGAAGCTCCAATAGAAATGCCCTCCGTGCACATTCTGGAATCACCACTCTTCCAGCCATGCAGATGAGGGCCCCTTCCAGCGTGAGTGCATTACGATGATGCCAGTATGGCTGAAGGCAACTGTCCAAAAGTCTTTTTGGTCAACCTCTGCTGATCGTGTCTTGTAGGCTTTGCATAATTGGGTCCTTCCCCGTCAGGTCTTCTAGCTGTCGTCTGGACACTGGGCTGGCGTCCAACATGTCCGCTGTGAAGACCCCCATATCTTGGGCTTCTTCGGTTTCTGCTCCATCTGGGGCAGTTGCCATCGGCAGACGACCGAGTGTCTGCGTTCAGGTTTTGTGACCCAGGCTTGTACTTGATCACATACTTACACGCTCCAAGCGTTAGTGCCCACCTCTAGATGCGTGCCGCAGCCATGCTTGGAATCGATTTGCTTTCTTTGAACAATCCCACCAAAGGTTGGTGGTCTGTCGTCTGTCTTTAGGGTGAAGCTCCTGCAGAGAAGGTAATCCCTAAACTTCGTTACCCCAAAAATGAGCGCAAGCGCTTCCTTCTCCAGCTGCTAATAGTTCTTCTCAGCCTTGGTAAGGGATCCTGACTGGAAGGCGATAGGCCTGTCGATGCCATTCACGCAGTGAGACAGCACTGCTCCTAGGCCTTCTGGTG